ATCTCTGCATCTCCTGCATCTCCTGCAATCTCTTGCAATCTCTTGCAATCTCCTGCAATCTCCTGCAATCTCCTGCAATCTCCTTCAATCTCGCCTCGCGAGCTCGTAGGCGGCGAGGGTGTCGTCGCCATCCGACTGCGCCACGCACGGGCCCTCCGCCTATTCACAGCAGGAGGTGTGAAGAGACGCTGCTTCACACCACCGCGCCACGCAAGGGCCCTCCGCCTCCGACGCGTCGAGCAGGCCGCAGTCGCCAGTCCCGGCGGAGAGGCCGAGCCTACTTAGTTCATCAATTCATTGAGTCGTGAACGAGCCGGCGGCACGCCGCAGTCGCAAGGCCCGGAGGGAGAGCCCGGCGAGCTGGGAGGGGGTGGATTGGGGGGGGGGGGAAGGGAGGGTGGGATGGCGGCGTGGAGCTGCTGCGCGAGGTGGGCGTGGCTTGGAAGAGGTGGGGGTGGAGTAGGTGAGGGAGGAGGTGGTGAAGGGGGGGAAGGAGGCCCGGAGGGAGAGAGAGAGAGAGAGAGAGAGAGAGAGAGAGAGAGAGAGAGAGAGAGAGAGAGAGAGAGAGAGAGAGAGAGAGAGAGAGGGAGAGAGAGAGAGAGAGAGAGGGAGAGAGAGAGAGAGAGAGAGAGAGAGAGAGAGAGAGAGAGAGAGAGAGAGAGAGAGAGAGAGAGAGAGAGAGAGAGAGAGGGAGAGAGAGAGAGAGAGAGAGAGAGAGAGAGAGAGAGAGAGAGAGAGAGAGAGAGAGAGAGAGAGAGAGAGAGGGTTAGCCCCCGAGCCTCGCGCGGATCGCGTCGTACGGCGACGGGACGAAGGCCGGCACCACGGCGCCGGAGCCGCCACCGCCGACGACGGGCGCTCGCGCGGTCTTGCCGAAGAGCGCCACCCGGAGGGGCGTCGTGCGGTCGAGGGGCAGCACGCCGTTGTTCTTGAGCAGCACGACCGAGCGCGCCGCCAAGCTGCGCGCGAGGGCGGTGTGGGCCTACGCGCTGAACACGCCAGCCTCGGGGCGGGAAGACGGTCTTGTGTCTTCAGAGCACCGCGTGAGGACGGCGGAGAGGAAGACACAGTGAAATCAGCGGAGTGCGGGTGGATACGGCTGCATGCGCGTCCTCTGGCGCGCGGGTGCTGGTTGGAGTACACGAATGCGTGTTCCGCTTCTAGGCGTGTGGGATATGGGGAGATATGGGGGAGATATGGGGGAGATATGGGGAGATATTCCGCTTCTAGGCGTGTGGGCGGGCGTGGAGACGTTGTTGCGCTGCGTGTTCGTGTTGTTAATGTCGAAGGCGCCGACGCCGAAGAGGGGCGTCAGGATGCGCAAGGCGGCGTCGTCGATCCGAGAGGCGTCGACCTCGCCGCTGGCGAGCGCCGCCTCGATGGCGGCGGCGTTCATGAAGTCCGCCCCCGGCATCTCCTGGTCGAGGCCTACGGGAGAGATGGGGAGAGATGGGGAGAGATGGGGAGAGATGCTTGTCGGCATCTCACGGTACAGGCCCTGCGCGAGCGACATGGAGTGCGTGGCGCCCCAATCGGACATGACCCAGCCGCGGAAGCCGAGCCGCTCCTTGAGGTCCCGCTGCAGCGTCTCCGGGTTCTCGCACGACCTAAACAAAGAAAACTTAGACCCACTTCAGAGACACTTCCAAGACAGAGACACGTCTCCGGGTTCTCGCACGACCAGCGCGTGCGGATCTTGTTGTACGAGCACATGGCGGAGCCGACGCCTGCAGCTGAAGTGTCTCTGAAGTGTCTTGGAAGTGTCTCTGAAGTGTCTTGTCGTACGAGCACATGGCGGAGCCGACGCCTGCAGCTGAAGTGTCTCTGAAGTGTCTTGGAAGTGTCTCTGAAGTGTCTTGTCGTACGAGCACACGGCGGAGCCGACGCCTGCAGCTGAAGTGTCTCTGAAGTGTCTTGGAAGTGTCTCTGAAGTGTCTTGTCGTACGAGCACACGGCGGAGCCGACGCCTGCAGCTGAAGTGTCTCTGAAGTGTCTTGGAAGTGTCTCTGAAGTGTCTTGTCGTACGAGCACATGGCGGAGCCGACGCCTGCAGCTGAAGTGTCTCTGAAGTGTCTTGGAAGTGTCTCTGAAGTGTCGTACGAGCACACGGCGGAGCCGACGCCTGCAGCGATCGCGCCTTCGAACGGCGGGTAGTACAGCTCGAACTGCGTGCGCTCGTCGACCTCCTCGTCCACCGACGTGCGGTCCGTCTCCTGTTCACAGCTGGAGGTGTGAAGAGACGCTGTTCACACCTCGAGGTCGGCCGACGTGCGGTCCTCCGTCTCCTGGTTGTTGTTTGCCCAGTGCTTTGCGTTGGCCACCACGCCGGCGCCTGCATTGTTCATGGTTCAGTACTTCAAGCCACCACGCCGGCGAGCATGATGGCACACGGCGACATCATCCGGAGGCGCCAGACCACAACGGGAGGGATCAGAGCCAAAGGCACAGCACCGCGGCAGGCGAGGGCGTGTCGAAATGGCGTTGTGCGCGTGTGGCCCTCCGTTGCCTCTCTCTCGCGCACCCTCCTCCCTTGTCTCTCTCTCGCGCACCCTCCTCCCTTGTCTCTCTCTCGCGCACCCTCCTCCCTTGTCTCTCTCTCGCGCACCCTCCTCCCTTGTCTCTCTCTCGCGCACCCTCCTCCCTTGTCTCTCTCTCGCGCACCCTCCTCCCTTGTCTCTCTCTCGCACCCTGGATCCCGCGCACGGCCGGCTGCACCATCTCGTAGCCGAGGTGCGGGTCCTCGCCGGAGATGTACTCGAAGTTGCGCCCGTTGCGCGGCACGCGCGCGAGGCACACGCCCGGGCCGAGCTGCACGTTGGCGCCCTTCCGGAAGAACTCGTCGCCCATCGCAGCGCCCCACGCTTCGGCGGCAGAGCGGTCAAACGTGGCGCCGATCGCGAGGCTGCACGGCCATGCGGTGGACGAGCCCGGGTGCGCGTTGTCGCGGAAGCCCTGCGGCCCGTCGTTCATCTTGATGGCAGGCACGCCGAGCCGGCCGATGCCGCACACGTTGCCGACGTAGCCGCCGCAGGAGCCGTGCGTGAGCTGTATCTTCTCTGCGAGCGTCATGTGCTGCACGAGCGTCGCAGCGCGCTGCGCGGGCGTGTCGGCGGTCGACATCCACGGCCTGTCGCCGCCAGAGAAGGCGAAGGCGGCGGACGCGATCATTTTGTGTGTCAACTCCGTCCGGCTTTCAAAAAAAGAATTCGGAGCGGGTTTCAGAAAAAAATGGAAGGCAAATTCAGATTTGGCCGGTGTGAAGCGGTCTAGCCATGCACCAGGCGCATCGATGTAGTCATAATATGTAGGCCTTGTCTCCCGAAGTTTTGAGCAATAGCCGCAAACAACGCTTTTTGGCAGTTCATCGCGACACGTCCAGCTCCAGGTGCCGACAAAGCGGCTTCCCAGCTCACCACCTCGCCTTCTCTGTCGCTCACCTGGCCCAGTCCCATCAGTATCAAGTCTGAGCTGTCCCAAACCGTCCTTATTTTGGGTGATGCAGCCCACTCTGGCTCATACCACGGCTCTTACGGCCTCATACACGCCCGTTTCACCCACAGACACCGCCGGCACGCACTCCCACTTCACACATGCTCAAGCACAACCCCACCAAAGCACAGCCCTGCTCAGAGTAGTCGTGAACCACCCTTTGGCAGCCGTGGAAGCCCCACAGCCGCTGCTTCTCTCGGCTCCTCTCAATGCGTGTCGTGCACCACCCCACGACAGCCCACCGAAAGAGCACTGGTGCTCTCCGCATGCGCCACCGATGTGATTGTGCAACGTCAGCCACCTCGCCTGAGGTAGTTGCGACTGGGGACACCGGAAGCTCGACGCTCGAGCACGTGTGGCAAAGTTTTGCGACATCCTGCGACTCGACCCCCGAGGGCTGCCGGCCGCCGACAGCAATACCGAGACCGGATTGCGCAGCGAGTTCGGTCCGAATGTGCCCAGGGCCAGCCCGTGGACCGGTACGGACGGCAGGTACCCATGGGACCGCTGCGGCGGGCCTGGGAGGCGCCACGAGTCCCAATGACGCACGGTCGGCGCAAATCCCCAAGCTGGAAATAGGCCTTTAACTGCAGAACGCCCCCTCTACTCGGAGAGACGTACCAGCATTTTCTGGACGCTGCTCTCGTGCGCTTCCTGAAGCAGAAGCACGCAATAACCGCTGGCGTGGATGTGCCCTACACAAGCCTTGCCGAAATGCAGCAGCACGTGCGAGATGAATGCAATCGGCTTGGCTTTCCAATCGTGGCCGATCCCGCCATTCTGCGCCGCATTCAGGACTTAGTTGGCCGCCGATATTTCGAACAGCAGGGCCTCTCATTGTTCAGATACGTTCCGTGACGTATGTTTCCGCGTGCACTTCTGCCGGCGAGGCGTGCCACTGGCCGCGGCCGCGCGCGCGCGTCATGCTTAGAGATTTTGAGTCATGCCCCCATGCCCCCCCCCCCCCTTCAGTACTAACTACGTTCTTTTCTGAGTTACGGCGGGGGCCGCCCAGAGGGCTCGTCTTCGTGAGGAGACAAGAGTCTCGCATTGGCTCTAGTACGAGCAACCTTTCCTAGGGGGTTTCGATGGCAACGATGGATAGGTAGGTAGGGCGGGGTTTGTGGTGCCACAGACCTCCACAGGGTAGGAAGGTAGTGCGTGTTTATAGTTTATCTGTTATCTCTAGTTACGTAATATATAATATAATATATCCCGGTGTCTTCCCGGCGGACCAGCCATTTCCCATTTAATTAGGGGGCCCACAGCGCCCCAAAATCCACCAGTCTGGGATTTCGCCCAAAAGCTTGACTCTGAAAAGCTCGCAATGTACCTTTCTGAGCGCTGTGGTCGCCGCAGACTGGCTCCAACTTGACGGCGGCATGGAGGCATCGATGCCTCCATGCCGCCGTTAAGTCGAAATCGACATACAGCTCGATGGTTTGCCCGAAAAGGTACATCGCGGCGTTTTGGGCGACAACAGCGCGGCGGCCGCGAAGTGGCGGTGGACATGCTCCCACGTTGCCGACGTGGCGTCGGAGTGGCCGGCGCTGCTCGCCGCGACCACGACGGCTACTCCGATGCTCCGGGCCGACCCGTCCTACCCGACGGTGGCACTCTTCCACGTCTCGCTCACGCTGAGAAAAATTCTGACACGGCGTGCAGCAGAGTCGCCGACGAGTCGGTCCGCGTGCCTCCTCGTGTCGCGCATCGTTCTCACCCATCCATAAACTCACTTTGGCCTCACTAAAGCGATGCCTGAATCCTTAATCCTCAGATTTTAGATTAGGACGCTGTGGGCCCTCTAACGTTTAGAGCCGCGGTAGGTGACGACAAGAGGGGGGCACGAGCGGCGGAGTGCCTGAAGGAATTCTGGTTGTGTCATCGCCCTGAGCGCCGGTGTGTGCCTTCACCGTGTGGGCCCCAGCGAGGTAGCTAGCTCATGGGCGCAATATTGAGCCCAGCGGTAGAGTTCGGCCTCTCGCCAAGCTCGGAAGAAGTCCCGCGTCCCTTCTTTGGGCAAAGAAATCGTGGACGGCCGGCTTCTGCGCAGCCGAGAGGCCTTCCGGCGTTGGTGAGTGGGGTGGGTCGATTCCTCTCGGATCCATGCCGGAGCGAGGCGTTGTGGTGGTATGGAGGATCACCGAATGGCGCGTTCGGGTTATACAGCAGAACAACCAAGCAGGTGACGATGACGAGGCCAAGCAGTAGGCGACGCGTGGCACCACCCGACGCCGTTGCCGTCTCCATAGATCGACTGGCCGGCCACGCGATGGCAATCGTCGGCGTCGGCCGGCTTGTGAGTGTTATCCGTGCTCGAGCGAGCGAGCGACGCACACTGTCCCGCACGACGGGCTAGCAGCGTGTAAGGCCGAAAGGCACAGAAAAAGAATTCCAGCGCAAAATCTTTCGGGAAAAGAAAGCGCGGAACCAAAAACACAGCGTTCTCACGCTTCTCAGCTGCAGCGTTCAGGCTGACGCAACGCGTCGGTGTTGGATCACCTGCGTGCGCAGATCGCGCAGCGCCTTGCTACGACGCAGGTCGTGCTTGATTTCCGTGGCAAGTTGCTCGCTGTCATCCACCACTTGCTCTGCTAGCTCAACCAGGATGTCATACGGCGGGATATACCGAGTGAACCCTCTTGCACGCCACGCGAACTGCTTGCGGATGCCGCCCTCAACTGTCCACGTCGAGAGGCGCACCGTTGCATTCCACGCACGCGTTCCGCTTTCTCTTTGGCCTCGTCGGAGGTCGGACTAGCCGTCGGCGGAGCCGCCTTGCTCTCCGGGAATGTCCGGCCGAATCGGAGGCGGGGCCGAGGCCAACTCAAGCGGACTGCCGTGCGTACTCCGCAGTATCGCCGCAACCCGCGCCGCCTCCGCCTCCGCCTCCGCCTCCGCCTCCGCCTCCGCCTCCGCCTCCGCCTCCGCCTCCGCCTCCGCCTCCGCCTCCGCCTCCGCCTCCATCCTTGCCGCCGCAGCCGCCACCCCTCTGACTCCGAGTGTCTCACTGCCCTCCAGCTGCCGCTGCTCCACTCTGCTGCGCAGCGCTAGGACGAGCCCTAGAAAGCCCTAGGAAGCCCATCCGGCCCCTCGGCAGCGGCGGCGGCAGCGGCGGCAGCGGCGGTGGCGGCGGCGGGTTCGGTGGGCTCGCCGTCGTCGCTGCCCTCCCTATGCCGGAGGAGAGAAGTGGCGGAGTCAGGGAAGGAGAGAGAGAGTGCGGGAGTTGACAGGGAGCGGCGCCGACGTGACAGGGAGCGGCGCCGACGGGGGCTCGCGCACCTGCACGCTGTGTGGGGGTCGTCCCACGTGGTCGCAAGCGTCTCTGTGTGGTACCAGTAGCACCGCCCGCTCGCGGGGTCGACCGCCGCCTGTTCACAGCTAGAGGTGTGAAGAGACGCTGTTCAGCCGTCGCGGGCCGGGCCGAACCCGGCCTCGACCGGCCGCGCCGCCGCAGCAGGCCGGGAGGCCCGAATGGCGGCCGACCAGCTGATAAGGATCTTTTTTCTCTCTCTTTCTTCTCTCTTTCTTCAATCAATTTTAAGAATTCTGTGAGAGAGGCTTGTCTTATTCTTCAATCCGGCGGTGACGAGTTGTGGGGTACTCTGGCGGCTAACCTCGAAATCTGCACCTTGGATGGCTGCGCTCCCTGTTTCGCATCCGTGCTAAGCATGGCTGGCGACGAATGAGTTCTTCAATCTACTCGTACTCGAGTCAGGCGAGTTGTGCCGGGACTCTGGGACAGCTCGCCGCGCCCACGGATGGCGCGTACGTTGCTGCCGATCCTCGCCTGCACCTCGCTGGCCGGCCGTCGTGCGCCCCGGCTCCGGCGTGCTGCGACGCTGGTCGCCACAGGATGCGCAGCCTCTGCCGCCACGGCGCAGCCAGCGACAGGTGGCGCGCTCGTGCGCGGTGACGATTCGCTGATGGCGCCAAAAGCGCACGGCACGACCTCCACGCCAGTCCAAGAGCGGCTGCGCTGGGATGTCGACAGAGCGACGGCCGACCGCATCTGCTCGTACAATCGGCACTATGCAGAGTACGCTGGCTACTACAAGCGGACGACCTTCATCGCCGCTTTCTCGGCGGCAGAGGGCGAGACCACCTTTTACGACTCGGTGTCTGGCAAGCCGCTCTTTGTCGCTCCTCGAGGCGCGAGCCGCCCTGTCCGACGACAGTCTCCCCACCACCCACCGCCACCGCCGCCGCCGCCGCCGCCACACCTCCATCCACGTAGGGCGCACCCACGACGCCTTCCTCGCCGAGTCCTCTGCGCACGGCTGGCCGAGCTTCCGCGACGAGGAGTGTGTCTGGGACAACCTCCGTGCGCCGACATGAGCCGAGAGTTAGCCGAGAGGTAGCCGAGAGGTAGCCGAGAGGTAGCCGAGAGGTAGCCGAGAGGTAGCCGAGAGGTAGCCGAGAGGAGCCAAGAGGAGCCGAGAGGAGCAGAGAGGAGCCGAGAGCAGCCGAGAGGATCCGGCGAGAACGGAGAGACTGACCAGCAAGAGACACACGGCCTCCTCGCGACGGCGGACGTGTCCGTACATGCATCGTTCGGAGAGAGAGAGAGAGAGAGAGAGAGAGAGGGAGAGAGGGAGAGAGGAAGAGAGAGAGGGAGAGGGGGGGGGGGGGTGGCACCTGCGGAGCGCGCGGAGAACCAAGAGAGCACCGCGACGGAGCCGGACGTGTCCGTACAGGCATTCTTGACGATGGCGAGGCGGTCTCGGTCGACGGTACGCACCTCGGGCACAACCTGCCCGATTCGAAGGGCAACCGGTACTGCATCAACCTGGTCTCGGTCGCGGGCACGCCTGTCGACGAGGCGGCTGCGGGGGTCACGAGGAGCGAGCTGTAGGAGCTGTAGCGTTATGTGCGGTGCGTTGGGTGTGCGATCTAGCCTTGGAAATTAAAAATAATTTTACGTGTTCATCATATCATCAATACAGATGAATACTTAAAGCCTTACCCGTCTCATATCTCGCCGACTACATCTAAACGGTTTTGCCCCTCCTAACCTGCGTTCGAGGTGCCCGCGACGCCAAGCGCTCGCAACGAGTCCGCAGCCGCTGGCGGGGCCGAGCACGCGCCACACTCGCGCCGCAGCGCGCTCAGGCGCGCACAGCGCGGGCAGCAGCAGGCCGACCGCCGCCCACAAGATGTGCTTGTTCGCTCCGCCGTCAAGCCGCGCGATCGCCGCGGCGTTGGCGACGGTGAAGGCCACCGGCAGCACGCTGCGTGCGCTGAACTCGTCCAAGACGACGGCGAGGCCTAGTCCCGCACACAGCAGGTTGACGTGGACCGACGCGAGGGCCAGGCGAGGGGCAGAGGTGGAGGTGGGCGCACCAAACCCCAGGAGACCCGCGTAAAGGCACAGGTCCTGGCGGTGGGTGATGAGGCCGCGCCGCTGCAGCGTCATCACAAAGGCGGCGCTCTGGATGACGCACAGCGACACGAGCTGCACGCTCAGGCGGCCACGTGTGAGCAAGCAGCCCGTCGTCGCGTGGAACTGCGTCGCCGACATCAAGTACTGGGCGCCCGCGGGCGCAGCCAAGTCGCGAATCGTGCGGCTCGACTCGCCACGCCGCGCGTACCAAGCGGTACTCGGGCCAGATCCGTGAGCCCGTGACGATGCGACGGCGTGGAATGGAGAAGGTCAATCCGCTGAGCTGCAGCAGCAGGTGAGGCGCTAGACTTGCGGCAGAACTCCAGCCGTTCTGGTCGGCGAAGCCCATGTCGTCTGCGCCGGCAAAAAAGGCGTGGTAGCGGTACGCGAAGTGTAGGAGCGCGTACAGTCCAAGTAGCTTGTGGCCGTGCCACCGATCCTCGCGAGAGGAGAGCTTGGCCATTCGTGTCGCCTGACGGCGACAGATCAGATCGCAATCACATGCCCGTGTGAATTTTACAGCAAGCCGGTCGCACAACACGATTCACGCGACAGGCAAGGCACGGGCGACGGCTTCCTCAGAAGCCGTCGTCCTCACCGTAGCCGTCGTCGGACCCCCAATCAGGGGGACAGTCGAATCCGCGAGCACCGTGGTGCTCGCCGAAAAGACCATCCCCATCCCACTCCCCCTCATCCCAACCCCCCCCACCCGCGCGCCTACCCCGCCGATGGCCGGTGGGGCGGGAAACCCCGCCCCACCCACCATTGCGCAGCAGGGGTTCGAGGTCCTCGCCCTCGCTGAGCAGCAGAAGCCGCCCAGCCCGGACCTCGTCCCTCCACCCCTCCCTCTCCCAGCACCGGTCACCAGCCCAACCCTCCACCACCACCACCTCCCCACGCCTCAAGCCCGAGCCCCCTTCGGCCCAAGCCACCACCCCCCTGCCGTTCACGTACACAGCTGTTAAGTGTGCCTGACTCCGATTCGGGGTATGAAAGAAAGAAAGAAAACAGACAACCCAAGGGAGGGATGGGAGGACGGCACGCCGCCACCACACAGGGATTTTAAGGAGAGGTGTGTGGTGCGCTATCCGTCGCCCACCCTAGGGAGTCTGCCTCTTCCTATCTCTCTTCGCAGTCTCTCGCCTATTCTCGCTGCAACCTTCATGCCACCTCGCGGTCGTCCCACCCTCGTCGTTCTCTCCCTTGTCACTTCCTCCTCTGACGCGTTGTTCTCTTCTGCCTCGTCCTGCGACGCCGCCGCCTGCCGGTCCCTTGTTCTCCGATTCGGGGTATCTTGAGATACGGCGCCCAAATTGATTTCTTTTGCGAGTCAGAATAGCCTCAATAGGGGTACAGCGCCACAGGCGCGGCCTCGCAAGTCCCGTCCCCGTGTTGTCCCTTCATGCATTGCTGCATCGCTGCTGCAGAGATGACTCTCCCCCGCCGCATCGTCGATTGCCACCACCACTTCCTTGCGCCCGACGAGCCCTTCCACGCCACGCTCGGCGCGCTCGGCGCGCCCGCCTACACCGCGGAGCAGTACGCCGCCGACTCGGCCGGGCTGCCGATCGAGAAGACTGTGCACATCGAGGCGCTGGCGGAAGACGGCGCCGGCGAGGCGGCGTACGTCGACGCGCTCGCCAGCCGCGGCGCCTGCAAGGTGGCCGCCATCGTCGCCAACTGCGACCTCTCTGCGCCCGACGCCGCCGCGGCGCTCGACAAGATCCAGGCGGCGAGCGCGCGCGTGCGCGGCATCCGGTACATCCTCGACTACGACGGCCCCTTCGACGGCGAGTGCCCGACGCACGTCGCCTGCAAGGCCCACGCCACCGACTACCTCCGCGACGCGTCCGCCGCCGCCGCGTTTGAGCGCGGCTTCGCGCTGCTCGCGGCCCGCGGGCTGTCGTTCGACCTGCAGCTCTGCCCTGCGCAGATGGAGGCGGCGGCGGCGATGATCAGCCGCCACCCCGGTGTGCCAGTGGTGATTGACCACATGGGCAAGCCGTGGAGGCTGCGGGCGGACGGCGGTGCCGCCGACGCGGCAGAGCTAGCGGCGTGGCGCAAGGGGATGGCAGCGCTGGCGGCGCTGCCGCAGGTGAGCTGCAAGCTGTCGATGCTTGGGGTGGCGGTGCCGGGCTGGCCGGCGGGCGGCGCTAAGGAGGAGCTGCTGCGTGGCTTGGTGCTCGAGACCATCTCGCTCTTTGGCGCGCGCCGCTGCATGTTCAACTCCAACTGGCACATCAACGGCGCCGTCTCCAACTCGGACGCCGGCGACGTGCCCAGCGACGAGGCGCTCACGATGGCTTCCCTCTTCGAGCGCTTCCACGGATGGGTGGCGCACTTGGGCGAGGCGGAGCGCGAGGCGCTCTTTGCGGGCAGCGCGGAGCGCTTCTACCGCATCTAGCTAACCCTCCGGGTGCGGCGGGCAAGGCTCATGTTGCATGCACAGTCGTACGGTCTGTCCCCTCAGTGTCGTCGGCGGCTGGACGGTTTCGCCTATCGGCTGCCCGGGTAGGTAGAGTGTCTCCGAGTACGGAGATAGCCGGAGAATGAGAATGATCTCAATGGCTAGTGTTCGATTTCACTGTGTGGCACAGCCCGCGGTTACAAAACTTTTTGATTTTGACCACGTGTGCACTTTTCTTCATATCTGGGGCCTCCGGCGCCAGTGCGAAGTCTAGTCGCCCTAAACCACCCCGCCTCCGGGCATACTCCGAACTCCCACACGACAACACACGCGCGGCCGGCGCCTCTCATGCCCTTCTCCACGCACACCGCGTGAAAACTGCGCGTACGTCCCCGCGCGCACGCAAACACGCGCAGCGCCATTTCAGAGCTGTGCCATGTGCGTCTGCCCTGTGCTGGCGCCCCATGGCCGTCCCGCGCCGCCCGCACCAGCTGCGCGCCCCTCGCACTACCAGAGCTAGCCGCATATCCACTCACGCCGCGACGCGCGCGCCGCAGCACACCTCACCAGCACACCTGCGCCTTTTTGCGCCCTGTGCAGGCTCTGCAGACTGCTTCTGGCATCCCACAAGCGGCTGTACTAGGACGCGCCGCGAGTGCGACGGCACCGCGCAGGCCCAGGCGCGCACGCACGCCCGCACGCGCGCTCGCTCATCCGCCCAGTCTGCTGTGCACAGCCTGTCAGCCTGCCTGCACACACAGCATACAGCACCATGTGCACGCATACGCTTAGACGCAGCCCGCACCCCACAATAGCCTGCCTCACGCCTCACCACGCCGTCTCGCGCACACCGCCAGCAGCCCGATCAGAGAAACTGCAGCGCGCGCCTCTGCACGCCTGCAGCTTCTCTGCATTCTGAGACCTTCTCAATCCACCCCGCCGCCGCGCCTCCCCGGGCACACACCGCAGCAGTGAATATGTGAGTCGAAGTATGGGATATCGACCGAGCCGTTCTTTTTACTGCCATATAAGCATAAAAAGAAAAAACACCATGGCGAAAATCGTTTAACAAACAGCGACGACCAGCAGCAACGATTTACAGCAGCGTCCTGCCGAGTGTGTGTAGCACCGACGCAGACGCACCCCAGGCACTACACTACGACGGCTAGGCAGACCTCACCAGTCCGATAAGGATCAACTGGAAGGTTGAACCTCGAGCTTAGACAGAACGGGCGCGACAGACTCCAGGGGAGATCGCGCTCTACTCGGGGCACCAAGGAGGAAAACCGAAACCGTTTGGGTGCCCCACAAAAACCCAAACGCTACAACCTAAAAGTCACACCTCCCCCCCACGTCCCCCCCCCCCTTGGGGACGTAGCGCACGCCCTTACTCGGAGAGAGTAGGATAGGGAGAGGAAGGGAGATTGGTGTGCCGGTTTTTCGCGTTAGCAATTTTTTTTTGACCACATGTGCGCCTAGTTGGCGACTTGAAACTTACGAGCTCGCTTGCGTGCAAGGGTGGCGACCGGCTCGGCTGGAAGGGCGCGATTCATCGACCAGGGAGAGCTGGCCCGGCCGTTCCGAGGAGCAGGAGGTGCGGCGGGAGGCCGGGTCCCGGGACGATCCAATGCCGCCGCCCTCGCCCGGGGAGACTCGGCCGGGCCGTCGACGCTCTCAGAGTCGGCGGTGCCAACGTCGGAGGTGGAGCGGAGGCGAGGCCGCAGCCGAGGAAGCATAAGAGGGAAGGCGGGCCCCGCAACCGTCGCATGACCTTGTTCGGAATGGGGGTAGGGACAAGGGAGGCCGCGCGGAGTTTGGGGGTTCCAAGCGGCAGTGACGATTGAGAGTGTGCGTCGTGTTCGCGTCTGGTGTCTAGTAACTCCGTACAAAGAGTAAGTATAGAGGCTGGGGGCGTTCCGCCGCTAGGGGAAACCCGAAGCGCAATCCAGAGCCAACCCTCGGAGACCCGTTTTTACTGCAGGAGCCCACAAACGTCAAAAACTGGCAACCCTGTCTGCACGTCTCGCGCGCGCGTGAACAGGGCTCCAGGCCCCAAATTACGTGTGAGTGTTAGAGTTGTTTGGTATTGAAAAATCTCTCTCAAACGTCAGGATTGACTGGCGTTTGCTGGGGATATTTCCTCTGTGGCCGCTGCTTCGGGCTACGTGACGGTGTGTGGTGTGCAGCACACGACACTCGTGACAGTCACAGGAGCCCCCATGCGTGTCGCAACGACCCACAGTGCTGACCTGTTTAAGTGTGGCATAACTCCTTCTCGAGTATCTCGGCCGACGGCGTCAGGATCTGACTGGACCGACTCCCCCCTCGTGCGATACAATAATGGTACCAGTCGTCGCCCTCCCCTTCGTCAGGGCCACCTACGTGCCCGTCCCCGCCTACGGCATGTGCGGGGCGCCGCTGCCGCCGCCGCCGCCGCCGCCGCCGCCGCCGCTGCCGCTGCTACCGCTGCCGCCGCCCGCCGCGGGCGTCGGCGTGAGGAAGGCGGGAGCGGATCGACTGGTGGGGAAGTCGGTCAAGGCGCCGTGGACGCGCCAGGAGGACATTATGATCCGCGATGGCGTGCTCCAGCGCGGCTACAAGTGGACCGCGATCGCGAAGTCGCTCCCGCACAAGCGCTCGGCCGACGCGGTGCGCAACCGCTGGCAGAGGCTGCAGTCGCGCCGGCGAGGGACGCCGCGAGGCTCGCCCGCGCTGATGCGCCCCAGGTCGGACGGCGAAGCCGACTCCGAGGGCGGCGCGTCCGCCGAGGGCTCTGGCGACGGCGCCGACGTCGGCGAGGACTTTACCCCCCCCGAGGTGGAGAAGCACGGCGACATGTGGACCGAGGAGGAGGACTCGATCATCGACAACGCGGTGGCGCAGCGTGGGCCGTGCTGGGCCGCCATCGCCCAGCTGCTGCCCGGCCGCACTTACTCCGGGTGCCGCAACCGCTGGGTGAGGCTGCAGGAGCGGCGCCTGGCCGCGGCAGGCCTGCACGTCAAGGGCGCGGCGCAGGTCTGCCTCACTCCTTCGCACCTTCCTTCCGCCGCCTCGGCGCACCTTGGCCGAGCCGCCCGCCCTCCCTCAATCTACGGGGGTTGCGGAGAGGCCAAGGTGCGCCGAGGCGGCGGAAGGAAGGTGCGAAGGAGTGAGGCGGACCTGCGCCGCGCCCTTGACGTGCAGGCCTGCCGCGGCCAGGCGCCGCTCCTGCAGCCTCACCCAGCGGTTGCGGCACCCGGAGTAAGTGCGGCCGGGCAGCAGCTGGGCGATGGCGGCCCAGCACGGCCCGCGCTGCGCCACCGCGTTGTCGATGATCGAGTCCTCCTCCTCGGTCCACATGTCGCCGTGCTTCTCCACCTCGGGGGGGGTAAAGTCCTCGCCGACGTCGGCGCCGCCGCCAGAGCCCTCGGCGGACGCGCCGCCCTCGGAGTCGGCTTCGCCGTCCGACCTGGGGCGCATCAGCGCGGGCGAACCTCGCGGCGTCCCTCCCCGCCGGCGCGACTGCAGCCTCTGCCAGCGGTTGCGCACCGCGTCGGCCGAGCGCTTGTGCGGGAGCGACTTCGCGATCGCGGTCCACTTGTAGCCGCGCTGGAGCACGCCATCGCGGATCATAATGTCCTCCTGGCGCGTCCACGGCGCCTTGACCGACTTCCCCACCAGTCGATCCGCTCCCGCCTTCCTCACGCCGACGCCCGCGGCGGGCGGCGGCAGCGGCAGCGGCGGCGGCGGCGGCGGCGGCGGCGGCGGCGGCGGCGGCAGCGGCGCCCCGCACATGCCGTAGGCGGGGACGGTCACGTAGGTGGCCTTGACGAAGGGGAGGGCGACGACTGGAACCATATGCATCGCAACAGAAGGGGGGAGTCAGTCCAGTCAAGCCGACGCCGTATCTCAAGATACCCTGTCATAGTTAACGTCATAGTTATGGCACACTTAATAGCTGTGAACGTGAACAGAGTGGTACCAGCACCACTGTGGGTCGTTGCGGCACGCATGGGGGCTCCTGTGACTGTCACGAGTGTCGTGTGCTGCACACCACACACCGTCACGTAGCCCGAAGCAGCGGCCACAGAGGAAATATCCCCAGCCAGACAGAGGAAATATCCCCAGCAAACGCCAGTCAATCCTGTTTGTGGGCTCCTTGCAGTAAACACGGGTCTCCGAGGGTTGGCTCTGGATTGCGCTTCGGGTTTCCCCTAGCGGCGGAACGCCCCCAGCCTCTATACTTACTCTTTGTACGGAGTTACTAGACACCAGACGCGAACACGACGCACACACTCTCAATCGTCACTGCCGCTTGGAACCCCCAAACTCCGCGCAGCGCGCGCGCGGCGCGCGCGACGGAGGGGCGGAGCAGCGACCGCTGGCGCGGTCGCTGCTCCGTCTGTGCCAGCGACGCGCGCTCTGGTGCAGAGCGCGCGTCAGGAAGGGGGCAAGCGTGGCGGCGCGGGACGCGCCGTAGGCCTTTACACGCTTTTCTCTGCAAAGGCTATCTATATTCTTTGCATCATATTCTCTCTGGGCCCTCTATATTCTCGAGAATATTCTCGAATATTGAGAATATTTTGACCTCGCGTAGATCGACGGAGACCAAAAGTCGCTCCAAACCCCCGCTCAGAACCTCCAAAACTTAAAGATTTCAGTCGGCATCGACCCGAAACCTACTGTTGAGGGGGGAATAGCTGTTTCGAGCTCTCTCGTCAAGACCGTTTTAGACGCCGCACAGCGGCAACGTCAAGAATATTCAAGAATATCTTTGGACTCGAGGTCTACTAAGGTCAAGGGCTGCGGAAAGCTCGTATATTCTTGAGGGAAAAGCCGGCCGGGGCATCTGTATTCAAAAACAAATCTCTGTATTCTCGAGAATATTCTCGAATATGGAAGTGCGCGGGACCCTCTATATTCTCAAAGATATTCGAGAATATGGTGTAAAGGCCAAGCACGCGCGGCGGCGGCGGCGAGCAGCCGAGCGCTCCGTGCGCGGTGAGGGCCGGGTGAGGGCGCGGCGGGTGACGGGGCAAGGGAGCAGCCAACACCCGGCCGTCGCTTTTGAGCGACGCTGTGGCACGCCTGCGCAGGGGCCGCAGGGCGGTCAGTTGTGGGGCGAGGCGGTGCCGGCCGCGGGCCGGGTGCAAGGCGCCGGCCTCGGCGCCGCTTCGGCGCGCAGCACGGGCGCGGCGATTTTTCTGAGGGGGAGCCGAAGGTTTGCTGCGGTAGCGCCGCCCACTTCCAAGCCAGGCGCCGCAGAATATTGAGGAGCGCAGATTAATCCGAGACGCGTGCATGGCCGTCGTCGCCACTGCGGGCTGGGCCGCGGCGCTCGCCTACCCTGCGGCCTCCCTGCTCGCGCTCGCCAACGGCGCCAATGACATCTGCAACTCGGTGGGCACAGCCGTGGGGGCCGGCGCGCTGACGATGCGGCAGGCGCTGGTTCTGGGTTGCATCGCCGAGGCCATCGGCGCGGTCACCATCGGCCCGTTCGTCGCGCAGAGCATCGCGAGCGGCCAGATCCACGTCGCCGCCTTTGCCGGCT